TTGCAGTGATTTTAATATGCCACCGTTCCGTTTTTATATGCGTTTGAACAATTCATAAATGTGAAGGCTCTTGAATAAGTGAAACGTGCAACACACTATCTGATCAATTTACTGACCTGAACTGTTTGGCCCCTTGGACTAAGTCCTAAGAAACACATCAGTTGCTCAAAGCACTTTCCAAACAATGTTCCTCTACTTTATGCTATGCAAATCATCTTTTCGCTAATTATTATTCAGTCTTTCCTCTTAAGCTCATAAGACCTTCATTGTATCTTTATTTGATACCGTCTCTTGAACTCGTTAGGTGACAGCTACCTGATGCCCGCATGCTCGACCGATTAGAGCCAGTGCAGTTTAAGCCCAACGCTATTCCCATTCTCGTCAGGTAAATCTCATCACCATTTTAAGGCTTGGTACTCTAACTTAATAACCACTTGCTCGATAAATTCAAAGAAGTTGCATTTTATTCCACTTGACTCCTTTCTGTCTTGTCATGTCTCGTTATTTCCGCTTCCATACTATACCTTCTGACCCTTCCATCTTATCATCCACTCTCTTTTTTCTCTTGCCCTCCGAACTTCGTCTATCAGACTACCTTGAACACTGGAACAGGACTCCATACATGGACAATTTACTCAAGCACTTGGGATCATTCCCCGATCCGACGCCTCCCCCAGGTGGCATTTTTTGCAAGTGAGTATTTTGGTGTTCAATACTTCTTTATGCTACAATTATATTTTATCTCTGCCACCCACATCAATATATTCTATAAGTCAATCCTCGTATGTCGTTTTCATTCCTGTAAGTTTATTTCTGATTCTCACTTTCAGTCTTTAAAATGTCTAAATATGACATGCTTTTAGCCCGTGTTTAGTTCCTTCAATTTTCCATTACTTCCGTTAAGAATGTGATTATTTGGTCTGTAAAAGAAATTACCAATTTTGCTACGATCACCTTTGACTAGCGTAAACTTTTACCTCTTATTTCGGTATATCTAAACTTAAATGCGATTTGTGTGTGAAATCTTTGTCTACTTTTTTTATTGCTTGTCGCTGCCCATAGAACCATGCTGATTTCTTGATGAAGCATCACTTTTTCCTTAAACTGAATCGAAAATGGTTTACGGTTTTTTTCTTGAATTTATTGATCATAGGCTTATGAATTCCACAACGTTACGCTGGATGCCTATAGTCGAACTGCCTCTATTACTTGTGAAGGTTGTGTGTATGAGCACTTTTTATTTTGTAAGGGCTTTCATCTCTACTCATCTAATCTCCATGAGGCGTTTGATAATATCCGTATTCAGGTTGTTAGTACCATTATACAGGTCGATCCTATAGTAAATAGCCAGGCTATATGTATATTTTACACAGATCAATCCCACTAAACTTGCCTCATGCTCATATTAATATGGAAATAACTTAAAATATTTTATAAATTAATTATTTTCAATATATTTCTTAATGCCAGGGGCAGCCTCATCAAAAAAGTAGTTGACGGAAAATCCGAAGTAAATGGACAGTCAAAATAACTGAGTATGTTATATTTTCTTGCCTTCTTTATATCCTACAGGTGTTAGAATATTTTAGATGCAAAACTATCATTTAAAAATATTGGAGTTTTTTATCTTTACTGGCTTTTTATTATTTTTTAAAAATGATTAGCACTTTTGGGACATATTATATTTGTGCATGTAGTCATGCCCATTTTACTTTTTAAATTGGTTTTATGAAATTAGATCTAGGTATTTAGTACAGAGTTGAGATAGAGACTAAGAATAAATTGCTTACGTCTACTGTCTCCGAATGATATATTGATAACAAGGATTATGTTAAGGCTTAAAATGCTTTGATTCTTGGGCTCGATTTTAGCGCTACTGAATAAGAAACCTACTCACATAAGTATATAGTTGTTGATTAAGTATATTTGTAAAAATAATAAATTTATGGCTTTTTTTCCAGGGTGCAGATACTTAATATTTATATTTACAGAGCCGAATGCTTATTCGGCAGCGACAGCTTTAAACGAGGGCTTATTTTTGAGTTCCACTAGCTTTATTCTATAGTCAGGTTTACTCTAAATCGTCACTACATTTCTTCAGTACCTCTGGACGGATTCAAGTCTGAGGCTTGTTGGTCCTGATGGGAATTACTGTTATACTCTATCGCCTTAGCTCTTTGGAATTGGAATCAGTTTTATTTTCGGGTCTTATACCCCTGGTTCTGTTATTTTGTGCTTTTCAGCTTTTAAATCGAAGGCAGATTTATTCTGACATTCCGGCTTAATGGATCACTTTAGAAGTGTAGTGGCTATTAGAGATTTCGGCTT